TAATAAGGTTTAAATATATATATATATGGGATTAATTAATTATTAAATAATTAAAGGTTGGGCCACTGGAGCCCTTCTTGGAGAGAACATTAAAAGGTTTTTGTCCATGGGCACGTAAGACCCGTGTGTTGGTCAACAGGGAGGGTGTAACCAAGGAAAGAGAACTCAAGCCAAGTCCAACTTTATTCGGAGAGGAACATCCCTCGGAAAATACACAGATCGCTGTATATGACTTCCCCCAAGGTACCCAAAATTTTTTTTTTTTTTGGGGGGAAATGGTAGGGGCCCCCCCCCACATATCCATCCCCCGGGGGGCCCCTTTTAAGGAAAGAGGGGAGGGGGGAAACCCAAGGTCCTAATCTAGGTATACTTCTTTATGGGTATCTATAGCTACCCACCCACTTGATGTCCGTATGTCCGGGAGTGACCCAGTCTTTAAATTTCGGGGGTACATAAAGGAAAAATCCCCCCCCCCCCCCAAAAAAAAAAAAAAAAAAGAAGAAATTCGTGGAATATTTATTTTTAATCAATCCATGTCCTTAACCTCCCTTGGGATATTTGTATTTATCTTGTTCATCTAGCTCTTGAACCTATTCATCCTGTGGTTTCTGCTCAGCGTTATTTTACAGGATATGGCCAAGAAAGAGGCGGACTGAGAATAACTATTCACAACCGTAGTCCAGACAAAAGTATTCCTGTCGTCTACTATGAATCGGCCCCATGGTTCCTAAAGTTCTTTTTGCACACCCTCAAGGTTGATGTTCTAGGATCAACAGAAAATGGTAAGCAGAGACTATACTATGTCTACACAACAATACGTGTATGTATGTATATAAAAGTTAATCAATCACTTTTCTGTACACCTGTGTTTATATTTAGATGATGATATTATTGAAAAGATGTATTACCAACCTGCCATTGATAGAGCTAGACCAACAATGCTCGAGTGTCGATTAAATCTTCCTCCTCAATCGGTGGTCACACTGTCTGTAGACTTTGAAAAAGTTTTCTTAAAATACACCGAGCATAGGCCAGATGCGAACCGTGGATTTGACGTCGGGTAATAATCTCATACGCACGTTTTTTTTTTCTTTTTTTTTTCTCAACATACCATGGATATCCTTGGTAACCATCTTTTTTATTTTATTTTATTTATTTTCCCCAAAACCATCATAGCTCCGCTGTCCTTACTGCTTGGCTACCAAACAAGCTTACTAACCAAACAAGGTAATAAAGCCAGGCTAAATAATTTTACATCCAGACTCACTCATCCTTTTCTAATACGATTATCATTTTTTTTTAATAGCAGTAGTTACTATAGTAATGATAATGATAGTGACTATAGCAGTACCAGTGCCAATACTAGTGCCAGTAACAGCATGAGTAGCAGTAGCATGAGAATCTATACTGACACGTTGTTGGTGAGCCTTCCAACTCCAGACTTTAGCATGCCATACAACGTCATTACCTTGACATGTACGGTTATAGCTCTATTCTTTGGATCTCTCTTCAATCTCTTGATTAGGTCCTTTTACATGGTCGATTCTGAAGACAATAAACCTAAAAAGTCTTAACTCTCGTTATTGTATATATATATATACTTTATTAGTTATCTCAACAACTTGTCCTCACAGTGTTATGCCTCACAGTAAACCAGAGTTATACGGAACCTTTTATACATAATTATAAAATGATCGTATAATTGAATTCATATATATATATATATACTTTCTTTTTGTTATATTATGAGCTGTTGCCAATAGTTTTGTCATTGAAATATAAGCTTTGTAATTCTTCTGGTGCATTGATGATGACGATGATGCTTCTGCTGCTCTTGTTGTAGTTTTTATATTATGCTAAATTATATATTAACTATCACAGGATATAATACATAATGAATTTTTATTTTCTTCTGTATGTGTGTGTTCATATATTCACATATAATAATGTTAAGAGAAATCAAATCGAATGAAAAGTAGATTGTTAGTTATTTGAGGGACCTCCATGGGCATCAATTGCAGCCTGGTATCTTCTCTGTATGCTCTCGGCCAAGCGTTCCGTAGATTCCCAACCCAATGTGGTTCATTTCTCTTGTAAAGCCACCTCCAAATCGTCCAAAGAATTGATGGAGACTCTTCTCTTATCGATTCGCCTTTCCAGAGTACTTCATAAATTCTCGGTGGGATTTAAATCCGGACTTTGGGCAGGCCAGACAAAAGAGTTCAATCTTCCAAATACTGCTCAAGGTAGACGGGAGAGAGACGAAGGCAGAGGGCGAGAAGACGTTGGCGGTGTAGCTTGTAGACAAGTCGTTGGCACACATGGTCAGTTTTGTGGGTGTGTCAGACCAGCAATGGATCCGACGATCCAAGGTATCAAAAGCGGTCTTCACAGACATACCACTGTCTGTGAAGAGCTAACCCATCTTGCTCTGGAAGTCATGGTGCACAAGGAGCAAGAGGGTGCCGCATTCCGGGAACGCAATTTCCAAAACACATGACTGTTGGATCTTGAGTGTTCTCAAGAGCTTTCGTACTTGAGAGTACTTGAGGTGGTTGCAGTAGGGCAGGTATACAAACGAATACACGGATGGCCTACTTTCGGGCTGTATGGCGCGGGAGGCTTGGGCAGTGGTGAGCTTGGAGTGCTTGGATTCCTTGCCTGTTGCCTTTTTGGTAGCAGATAAAAAAAGTAGTGGGTGCGAGGATGGTGGTGGTGAAGGCTGTAGCACCGGGAACTTGTGCCTGAAGCTGGAGTTGGTTATGCAGAAAATACATGTGCTCATTGACAGCACAGAGTTTCTCGATGAGGGAGCTGTTCTGTGGTATAAGTGCGTTGAGTTTTGCTGCAAACACATATAGCTTTCTAACAAGTGCTTGTCACTGTCCTTCGTGTACGGTTATGCGTGTTTGCCGGTCTTCCATAATGGCTCTTAACTGGGCGTTCTCGGAGGCACAAAGTATTTAACCACCCATTCTGTCGAGGGAGAACTGTCTTGAAGACGTTCGTGTTGGTGAATGCCTTTGGAATCATGGTAAATTGATTAAACAGAGGTTATTTAGGTCGAAAATGTTGGTGGGACATATATGGGAGTGGATGCGTGGTTGATTGGTTGTTTTTATGTAATGGGGTTTTTTAAGCAAAAATTAGGTTATGCGAAAGAGCCATCCTGCCTGAAAGCATAGGACAAATTTTGAAATAGAATTTTCACGCTCTTAGCCAATCAAATCTTTTAAAAAGATATTTATTCGGAATTTTTCATCTGTCTACCGCTATCTATTTAAGGCTGTTGAATATCCAAAATAATAGAAATAGAAATAGAAATGAAAAGGAAATTTCTCCAAAGAGAAGAAAAATGTGGAGATGTCTGTGTGATTGGGGGAGTTCTTTACATGTATTCTTGTGTTACAGATGTCGCGAAATGTCGGCTAAACAAAGGAAAAGATCGGATTTCAAGACGGTGATGGCCGGTGTACCACACAAGTCTAAAGCAGACAGTTAGCTCTTCTTGTCTATGTACCTTATGGAGTTGTGTATGCATGTAGCTATGTAATTATGCAATTATGCAATTATGCAATTATGGATATAAAAGCCAAATCAAAGTAGATCCTATAATTTTTTTTTATAAAATGAATTTTTAAAATAGTTTCTTGTGTATCTCTGGTACCTATTACATGTGGGGATAAAACAAGAGCAATGACTGGGTAATATTTATGTGCCTGTGTACAGATACGTAAAGTCAAGATAATCAATCGATCATTGACGCTTGTATTTTATACAGGCTGTTTTTTCTTTCTTTCTTTCTTTTTACTATCATTATTAATTTGAATGCATATTCTCTTTAATCAACTGTCCCGCATTCACATGTCATTTACTGATCTTGTAACCTGTGCCTATACATACACATAATCATATATCTATACCTGTACCTGTACCTGTACCTGTACCTGTACCTGTACCTGTGCCTGTGCCTGTGCCTGTGCCTGTGCCTGTGCCTGTGCTTGGTGCTTATCTGTTATTGTATTTAATATCCAAGTACTATGTTGAATATTTGGCCTGAGTAAGCTTCAAATACAAAATACAATATGTATATATAATATAGTATAGTATAGTATAGTACAGTATATATTATATGCTTGTATAAAATAATATAATACATTAAAAGTGCGGGGAACAGAAGCCCAAAAAGATGCCCTTGTACTTCATCCCCGATCCACCCCACCTATCTATCTTTTCCTTTCCTCTTTTGTTTTGTCTCTTTTGTTCTTTACCTTCTTCTTTCTGCAACCTCCTCACTCTCTCGCTCTTGACACATTCTCTATACTTCATCCTCTTCCTCTAGCCTTATCTAATTGTCTTGAGATTATATACTATACATTATATAATTTCTGCACAATTTGTACATATAAACATATTTTCCAAGCCAAGAAAAATAACAGCAATAATACAATGTTTCGGATAACACCTCAACTCTCTGAAAAAGTTCAACATTTTGCGCGGTTTCCACAAACTGGCGTCTCACTCCGACAAATGGTTCTCTTTGGTAAATAAGTAAAGAAGAGAGAATAAAGTGGTTGGCACCTTGGACATCATTACCAGAATGACATACTCATTTAGACTTTTTCTTTCTTTATTTCTTTATTTTAGGTCAAAAACCTTCAAAGGGCACACTCTTCAAAGCTAGTCAATTTTTGCATGGTAAAACAAGGTTTCACTTTTATTTTATATCTATATATACAAAAAAAACATCTCTTTTTTTAAACTTCTTTTTTCAATAATTATTCAATGAAAATTTACAGAAGAGCTACCTATTCGACTGGCACATCGAGTAAAAGAACTAGAAGAATTACCAAAGGGATTGGATAAAATGCCATCAATTGTAAAGGTCAAGGATTGGTACGCCGAATCTTTCCAGGTAAAAAGAAAAAGTGATTAATAATATACATATGCACACACCAGAAGAATGTCTGTAAAAGAGAGGGACTTTAAACTTAACTAGTATATTCTTTATAGCAATTACTAGATCTTCCGTCGCCAAAACTCAGTGATTCTATGCGCGATCGTATAAAAGAGGCTTCAAAAAATAAGGAGGGATTTATATTGCCTCCAAATGTGCACAATCCGTCTATAAAACTACCCAAGAACTCCTCTAGTCTTCATCCCCATGTACCTATTGGACATAGGTGAGTTTGGTATAGATATAGATGTCTGTCAAATAAAATTACAAAAAGAAAGAAAGAAAAAATGGTGAATGGTGAAATCTAATGGCTTATGATAGATATTACAACAATATTGATGAAGTAGATTGTTCACCGGAGATGGTGGATTATACTGCTAATTTTGTAAAGACAATCGAGTGCATCAAACGGAGGCATGATCCAGTAGTAACTACAATGGGTATGATAAGATTTGGCTATAGAGAAAAAAGAACATTAAAATCAATAGTAGAGTGCATTCAAAGAGAAAATGTGTATGTGTGTAATGGATAAAAGTATACATATTTACATTTAATATTGTTGGTATACTTACAGCTCGTGGAATCCTCGAATACAAGCAACACACGCATGCAAACCTTATTGGTACTGAAGTCCAGGATTTCCTGGATCGTTTTTACATGTCACGTATCGGTATTCGTATGTTGATTGGTAAGCTTTTATATAGAACAGTAAGGTGACCAAGGTGTATGGGATAATCATGAAAAAAAAAACTAAACTTTGATTATATAACTCTCTCTCTGTGTGTGTGTGTGTGCCTGTTGGGTATTACATTGCTGTCTTTAATATATATATAACTAAAAAAAAAAGGCCAACATTCAGCATTGTACCATGGTCGATTTAGACGAAAAGACTACGTGGGAGTGATTTGTATAAAGACAAATATCCATGAGATTGCAGCCGATGCGATCGCCAATGCACGCTTTGTGTGTGAAGATTATTATGGGATGTTCAAGGCACCCCCAATCCAGATGATTTGCCCGGGTGACATAGAGTTTACTTATGTGCCTTCCCACCTCAATCATATCCTATTTGAACTTTTGAAAAACTCTCTTCGTGCTGTTGTAGAACGATATGGCGAAGATTATGAGGACGAATACCCACCAATAAAGCTTATAATTGCCCATGGAAAAGAAGTAAGTATTTAGTAAGAAAAAAAAAGATATCAAAAAGAGCATAAGAAAGGGAAAGTTAAATGGATGATGTGCATAATATGGCTCACTAATAAATTGCTATGATAATAATTAATTTGTGTAGGATATAACCATCAAGATATCTGACGAAGGTGGAGGAATCAGTCGTTCTGCGATTCCTCTTGTCTGGACATACATGGTAAATATTATTGGCAGTTTGGAAAGAGGCCTATATACTGGCTGGCATATAGACGAACGAATTGACTAATCGATCTAATGATGCTCTTTATTCCTTTTCTTTTTTACATTTATTTTTATATGTATAAACAGTATACTACAGCGCAGGCGCAAAGTATCAAACCAGAAGATGATGATGCCGAATTCAAAGCACCAATGGCTGGTTTTGGCTATGGCTTACCTATCTCAAGACTGGTAAATACGCCAACACATAGTATATCTTCACAATATACAGACATGAGTACGAAAATTCTAATTGGATTCTTTTTATATATATAATTTATCTAGTATGCGCAGTATTTTGGTGGTGATCTAAAGCTGGTATCCATGGAAGGGTAAGGGAGAAGTTTTTTTTTATTATCTAATAATTGTTGTGAGAAATGTACAAATATTTATTATTAATTAATCAATTAATTGTGCGTGTATTTTTTGGGCTGGAAATAATAATTAATATTATCATACGTTGTTTTTTTTTTTTTTGTTAATATAGGTATGGAACCGATGTATACCTTCACCTCAATAGACTCTCAAACAGCCACGAACCTTTACCATAAAATATAATATAATAAAAGCTATAAATGTATATTAAGAATCACTGAAATATTGTATGTGCGTGGGAGTTCGATCCAAGGTCAATTTACAAAATGTGTGTATGTGAGTAGCATGATAAATTATGTTTGAAAGTTTCTTTACCTTTTACACAAGAATTCATTGGGCTATAGAAGAGAGAAAGATAATATGAGTATCTGAAAAATCCCACAATGAAAAATGTGTTCAGAATAGTACCAGTAAAAAGAAAACCCTCGTAGCAATAACAATGTACCGCAGTATATACCACAAAAACAACTAATTCCAGAAAAGAATCAACGAAGGAGGGGGTGGATGATGACTTGACAGGTTTTGTTTTGTTTGTAAATGCAAAAAAAAAACATATACAAGATAAACTAAAATAAAAAGTTAAAATTTTATGAGAAATGTGGTTGCAAAAGTGATCCAAAGACGCGCCAAAGACTTGCCTATTTACACACGCATATACAACCAAGTCATATGCTCTTCTTTCTTTTCTTCCTTGGCTTAGAATCTAAAACTATAAACATGGGGGAAAAAGTATAGTCAATTGGGCGCACGCACCTTTATTCCTTACGCCTTTATTCTTACTTGAATAAGATGAAAGTAGAAAATAATCTTAAATAATAATTAAAATACTAAATAAATAAATAATAACAAAGAAGAAGAAAGAAGAAGGGGGGGAAATTCAATAAAGTCCAAAGGCAAAGAAAAAGAAGAGCAAGAGAAATGATGTATGATTCACGAGCTCGATAAAATAGATAGGCAATGGAAGAATAGTAAGGATTCTAAAGGGAGTTTACAATAGGTACCTTGTGTATAATAGTAGTACTGATTCTTAATGTAAATGTAAATGTTAATATAAACTTTCAAAAAAAGAAATTGCATGGGATCTATAGCAATATAAAGGAGAACGTAGTAAGGTTTATTTGCAGAATCTTAAATAGTGAAAGAGTCTATTATATAATTGTATTGATAACCATATAAAACGTTGTTTGAGCTTTGGGATAAATTCTCAGCCTCAACCTGTTTTATATACGTATATATTGTGCCTTTTTGTAGTATAAAATTCTGCTTACACATATATAAACAATATACTGAAGGAAATGGCACAATTTGTAATTCCGCAGTGCACATTTCAAGCAATTATGTGCAAAATTACACATTTGCTCTAGACCAATAGAAAATTAGTATTTAATCATTAGTGTTACCTACTTAAGCAAATGGGAAGCATACACTGTAGGAAACACTGTAGGAAATGACACAAATTGTAGTTCCGCAGTGCACATTTCAAGCAATTATGTGCAAAACTGTACATTCTCAATGGCTCAATAAAAGTCACTTATAACTCTGTTAGTGCTACATCTCTTAGCAAATTGGATCCGTAGAATACCAGGACTTTGAACTTTATCTAGTGTTGTACAACCCTTTCCAGCCAGTAAAATACATATATTAAGATGAGTTAGACCTTGTTTGAGTAAATTTATCTATTCACTCATTGGTCAAAATTGTCCACTGCCTTGTACACCAATTCAGCTTTGTCGAGGTCACCTCCAGTAAAGTGTGCGGCCAACACCCCCTTGAAGCATTTCGTCGACTGATTCCAACCTTCTGGCTTCCCATGGAGTGAAGGGCGTTTGATGTCACGGTCCCCAGTTGCAGGCAATAACATCATCGAAGTCCGAGCGTTGTCTCTAGTTGACAGAGCTAGTTCCGCCTCGCAATTGTTGGTCAAGGATTCGAGCCTATCTTCCAATAAAGCAACTTTAGTTCTTAGTGAAGCATTAGAATCTTCTAAGTATGCCAGACGTTCAAGTATTTGTGTAATTTCGTGTGTTGACATGGTAAAAAATATAGTTGGAGAATAAAATGAAAGGGGCGAAGTGAGTCGAAGAAAAATGAGTAAAAATTAATTTAAAAACAAACAATCAAAATCCTTTTGACTTTTTTTTTCAAGACAATTAATACACTTGTAATTTTTACTACTAACATACTAATATAATAAAAAATATTCTCACCTCGTGAACATTTTTCGCAACCTTACACCCCTACTTCTTTTAACATACAAACATAAACCAAAATGAATATCAAAGATTTACTTAACAATGACTCTGAGACCAGAACAAGTGGTCATATGCTTGATGATTCGTTTTTTGTTAAACGCTCAAATCGGATTGAAGACCGTATTATTGCCCAAGCCTGTGAAAAATTCAACAACAGGAACAAGGTTGCTACCACTGCCCCTATGGACTTTGACAAGTTCTTGGCTGCAGGCAATAGCAATCACAATGAAGCAGAGAGTATGGACACCGATGATGTTCAAGTAGAGTCTGTTGAGGAAATCAACGAAAACATCAACTATATGTCTGGTAAGAAATAAACAACTAAAAAAACATTAGTATTAAATATAATTGTATCTAACTCTAAAACCCTAAATATATCAGATAATGACTATGGATATTCGCGTGTCCGTAACCCTGACAGAGTGTACAATGCTCCAGTAGACCGTGTCACTGATTATGAACATTTTGTTCCCACACACGTGTCCAACAGTCGTGCACAGGCTGTCAGTCTGGAATTGTTTTCCATGTTTTTTGAGAACAACGTCTCTCGTGAAGTCTATGACAAAGGCATAAAAATTGTCAACAAGTACATGGCAGAACTTGGATCCAGTAAGTTTATAATTAGTATACTCTTTTTATATCACATGCACTTACCACCATTTTAGGTAAAGTGGATTCCCTTCTGTCATACTACAGGGTAGACACCTTGTTGAAGGAGGAGTACCCAGTGAAGTCCGTTGCATACGATATGTGCATAAATGGATGCTTCCGGTTCTCAACAGTAGAAGAAGGAGACTTCATCGACGAGGATGAGACATGTCCTCATTGCGGTGAGGACAGGTACAAAGTGGAGAGAGCGAGTGTAAAGCCTGCACAGACCTTTCAGATCGTGCCTCTCTCAGAGCAACTGCGGTTCAAACTCGCCCACCCCGAGGAACGGGCCAAGATGGCCTATGGTACAAGGTGTTTGGCTGGCAGACGTGAAGATGTACGTGAAGACATCTTCGATGGAGACGCAGTCGGACGGTTACTTGATTGTGGAGTGGTTGGTCTGGATGACATTTTGGTGTCCATGTTTGTTGACCAGTTCAACCCATTTAAAAATGCCAAAATGTCATCCTCTGTTATTCATGGTATTAACCTGAATATCGATCTTAAAAAAAGGTATTTAAAAAAAAATAATTTAGATAAAGTTACTAATACGAACTACTTAGATACAAGGCAGGTAACATGATGCAGTTGGCTATCATACCAGGACCTAACCATCCGAAAGATATCGCTTCGTTTTTGGAGCCGGTTCTCGATGACCTGAGAAACTTGGGGGCAAATGGCCTGCAGTTTCAGACTGATTCTGGACTGGTGATTGCCAAGGTTCATCTTGTCATGGCGACTGGAGATACTCCAGCCGTCTCTGACTTGATGAACCTGGCACATCACAATGCCCATCACGGATGCAGAGCTTGCATCTCGTATGGTGCAAGAGATTCAAGCACGACTTGTATTGTGGAAAGAGACGGACCGTCACTGTTGAGAACAGAAGAGAGTTTGCACCAGTCCGTTGGAGGCGTAAGTTGTAAACTGTTAAACAAAATAAATATTGATACCGTTTTAGATGTACGGCGTCAAAGGGCCCAACGTCTTCAAGGACTTGCCCACAATGACCAGTACTGCTTTCTTCGGACTGGATGAGATGCACCTTCTAGGTCACGGTACAGGCCAGCAGCTGTACGTTGCACTTGGAGGAAAATTCTGCCCCACGATCAATGACGGTGGAAGAAATGCACATGGCATTCACTTGCAAGACCGGTTGAAACACCACAGATACCCGTTTGCCCTGGATGTCAGTCTGGAAGATATCGACAAAGCAATTTGCGCATCCAGGGCCGATATACCAGCCGATTTCACGGGAACGTGGAGATCCTTGAAGGAATCCAACGGCAAGAGGAAGGCTGTCGATTGGATAGACTTCCTCTTGTTTGTTGTTCCAACGATTGTCGTCGATCATTTCGTTTTTGATCGTACGAAAGCAGCAGTGATGAAACTTGTTACTGCATGCAGAATTTCCCAGCAGTGGAGGATCACTGCTGCCAATATCCAAGAAACAGAGGAGTAAGTCAATCGGATATATGCTGATCAGTGTTTTAATCATCTTTATAGGGCCATTGGTCGCTGGCATGCCTTCCTCCGTTGTGAGATCGAAGAAAAGAGGCTGAAGCCTACGGTTTTCGTGATGAACCAGCATATGCTGGTTCATCTCGGCTATATGATGCGGGAGATGAGTCCTCTGCGGGCATGCAGTTGTAGGCCAATCGAAAGGACAATCGGTGTCTACAGCGCGGCAATCAAGTCGAGAAAGAAACCAGGAAAGAACATGGAGAATCTCTTGCTCAGAAAGGCAGCAATCAATCACTGTCTTGGTTGCCGACCTGTCATTTGTGCCACAAATGACAGAAGGACCAGCAACTTCGAGGTTGCAAGTAACGATGTTGCTGGTCCTCAACTTTGGTCCAGGCCAACTCGAAGCTCTCTGGCTGAGTTGGCTGCCGCCATTGGCATAGAGTGCCAGGACTTGGTCCGCAGTTTGGTGCCTTTCTGGGCAAGAGAAGGCATTGTTTCCTTTGAGGAAAACGATGAAGGTGGTGGACGTGAAGTCTATCAAGGGGATCGCTGGCCTCGTCCACGACCCAAACGACGAGGCCATTCGGCACATTATCTGGCCTTCGCCAAAATACAACCAATAGGTTTTTTTTTCTTTGTTTTTTTTTCCCTATTCTTTTAATACATATATAAACATTTAATTTCTTTAAAAAAAATCACCCAAAACAATAGCAAAATCTGTTGCTATTACCATTTGATTTAAAATTTTTCAACGCCAGAAAAACCGAATTTATGGTATATCTAATTGATTGGCTGTGTTCTTGACTTTGATCAAACTTGCAAACAAAAAACAACACTCCTCTTTCTTTTCTCATTTAAAACGGCTGTCTGAGTTAAACAACCAAAAAAATTATGATTACCGGCACAGAGCTTCTAAAAAGGGTTTAAATTGCTCTAAATTTAGAAAGGCTAACAGGAGTTTTAAATATGTGCAAAGATTTTGCAGATGTGCAGTTTTTTTTTGGAAATCCTTGCACATTATTTTCTATAGTGTAATATTTAAGGTATCGCGCTGTCAAACAAAAAGTGTGCCGATACTTCCATTCTGGCTATATTTTTTCCTTTGAATCTTTTATATATATATATATTATTAGTGATGTTTATAGTTAGTATTTTGTACAACCCAGCCGATTATGTTGTATAATTAATATATAATAAAAGCAATCTAGGTTATTGAACTTGTATAATACGGAGAATAATTGTTTGTGTGTGTGTTTGTACCAGTCAAACAATGTCCTCCTCCTGCTCATCTTTTCTCCTCCTCCTTCCTACTCCTTTTCCTTTTCTCTTTTTCTTTTGAAAAAAAAATCCTTCTTCCAAAATACAATGACATAATTTCGTAGCACAGTCGATAAGAATCGAACTTTTTGACGACAAGGAAAATAAAATACATAAAAATATAAATGAAAATGAAAAACGAAAATGAAGGAAAAATGTTACACACATGTTTATCGTTACCAGGTTACATTTACAGTTTAAAGTTTTAATAACCCGCTGATCCCAATATCTGTTTCAAGGGGAGGAAAGAAAGAGAAAAAAAACCAAAAAGCTCAATGTGTTTTATATATGTATATCTTTACATCAGTTTTTATACAAAATTTTATGCTCTTTTATATTTTTCTCCTAGAGAAATCACAACCTTTTTTTTTCTTTTTAATATGTATTCTTATTATTCGTTTAGTTTTCATTGGCTTGTTAGCAGTGTATAAAAGCAATTAATATATACATATATTAAATCATAATAAATGGCTGTAATATAAAGTTTTATATATATATAATTTAAATTTAGTGTGTATACTCACTCGTTATTTGGCTTATATGAACTATGGAACAGCATTGGTAACTCAAGAACAAAAAGAAAATCCCGTGCTGTAATTATTTTCGTTGTTGTTGTTTTTCAGGTAGCTATAATAGGTGCTTATATATAGTTTGCTTAAAAGAAAAAGTAATTTAAAAGATATTTCTTATCAAGGTAATCATTTGTACTGAACCTATATATATATTTGATGTTATCAAATTACAATTATTTAAATAATTAGTATTTTATTAGCAATCTTTTAACAGATATTATTACTATTATATGTATATATGTGCGAATTTGCGTATGGCTTACACTAGAAACACAGGAAGCTCGAATATATTGTTTTCCATATATTATTCTTTTTCAAGCACGAGTAATCTTTATACAGATGGGTCAATCATATATCTTTTTAGTTTATTTTCAATGACAAACTTTGTAACGATAATCAATGTTTCAAAAAACATTAGCAGAAAATTGAAACCTTTTTCTTTTTAAAAATAAAATATAGAATAAATAAATTAATAGTGACTCGGTCAGACTTAACAATGATCCAAGAAATGGGTTCATTGTTAACGGAGTATATTTTATTTTATTTTATTTTATTTTATTTTATATATATAAAACAGAGTGAGAATGGAGAATGGATTGTCTATTTATTAAAATAAAATAAAGGGTTTTTTTTCTGTTTCTTTACCACGTTTAATATACCAAGGATCATCTCTATAACAAAATCATTATTTTTGTTACTGTTATTTTCATTTTCATTTTTTTTTCTGCCATTTGCTCCTAGAATATACAAAAGTTTGGACATCTATATAATCT